TTTTGTCAAGCAGACATTGGGGAATATATGCGACACGAAGAGACATTGACTTAAAATGAAATCATCGCAAGGACGTATGGCTGTGTGGAAGGGCCTAGCTTTGTTTCCTGTGTCTGTGTAGGCTCCGCCATCATATTGCATTTGGTCACCACTGCGATCTCTCCAGGGACCTCTTAGTTTAATACGGACAAATGCAGGCTGGATTCTTATTAAGCAGAAGTGGGTCAAAAATGGCATTTCGGGTGTTTGTGTTTGTTACTAAATAGAATATCGTGTTTTATATTTTAATCAGAGGGCTTCTTATTTTCAGTAAAAGATTCTAAATCATTGGAATTGAGGAAAGAATAGCTTATTGTTATCTGTGATAACACTGTTGTCCGAACGCATGGTAAGAACACAACAGGTTTTCTTATTAATACTAAAAAGGTAGATATTGCTGTATGAGAATAGTTGGCCATGTCTGGGATTTTACAAATGAAATTTGGATAAAATACTAAGAGCAATTTATTCTGCTAGTTTTCCTTATGATGAGTGCTGTGTGGGTGTGGTGTGGAAGAAAACTTGGATCCTAAACCTAGTTCTAATACCTACCAGCTCTATGATGCTGTAGATGAGTCATTAAACTTTAATGAGCTTCATTTTCTTCTGTTTCAAAAAACAGCTTTAACCATCTACCCAAGAATGGTTTTCAGAATTTGAAATCATGATTGTAAAGTACCTAGCACAGTGCCTGGCAAATGACAGGTGCTGAGTAAGTGGTAAGAATTGTTTTTATGTTGCATATACTGAGTGTTTCTGCTACTAAAAGTGGGATCTAATGAGTATAATTTGATTCTATTATTTTGGTTTTTCCAAGCTGTTTTCTGGATGGTGATTTCAGGTTGAATGTTATTTTCATCACCTTGGTTTCCTAAAACATTCCCCTTATGAACCTTTACTTACCTTATTAGACTGGACAAAAAACACTGTTCAGAGACCCTGAAATAATTTACCTCCTTCATTGTTCCCCATGCTTCCTGAAATCATTTTTAGAATTAAAATATTTTTTAAAATGAAAGTTAAAAACAAGAATCATTTGATTTGAGAACGGTGACATATATGGGCTGTTTTTATTCTATTGCCGGTGGTTGTGGTTCATCAGCCCTGTGGGAGGATGATGGGATGGGGAGAGCTCAAGCCACAGGGAGGAGAGGGTGGGTGGGTGAGGTCAGAGAACCCACCGAGGGCTGTGTCTTTTCGGGGCTCACACCCATCTTGCTGTAGATTGGGGACATCTGCAGCCACTTACATTTTCATAGCTATTAAGACTGCCTCAGACACCTGGGCTCAGTCCCACTGGGGACCTGGAGGGGTGGGGTGATGTGAAGGGCATATTGGATTTCCCCACCCAAGGAGTACATCCGGAACAGAGGTCTGCCCACTCTGGAATGCTCCACTGCTGTCCCCAGGCATAGGGTCCCAGTGCCTGCAGTAGGTGCTGCTACCCATACACATACGGCAACAACTGGGTCTGCTATGTGTATTCTTACTTTTTGTCTGCGTACCCTGTGGTTGCCCCTTTGTTTTAGGTTCCTGTGATAATTTATCGAGGGAGAAGAGAGATTTTTGTCCTGCCATTTTTGTCTGGAACCACCAGACTCCATCACAACGTAGGATGTCAGGCCTCGAGCACAATTGGATCACCTACTATGGAAGGTGGGGGAGAAGAGAAATGTCTGCCATCTCTGGGTGATATACAAGGGATCTCTTTACATAATAGGAAATCTGTTTCCCACTTGACTATGGAAAAGCATTTCTTTAGTTTCTTTCTCTGATGCTCACATAAAAATAGACTTAAGAACTAAAAGGGGACTGATCATATTTTCTCTCAAGCCCCAGGCACTTGCACCAATGAACTTCTGATTTCTCTCCCCCGCTGTCGAAAAGTAAATAGAAACTGACAGCTGATGAGACTTTCACACTGGGTGTGTATTTGCTGATGACTCACTAAGAATTCACAGTCAAGGTGCCAGTTGTTCTTCCGATATAGAAAGAAAAACTATTTTAAGCAAAACTGTAACCTCACCGATGCTAGTATCACAGCCGCAGGAAATCCACGTAATGCAGGTTTCGCGCCAGACTTTCACCCCGCGCCACACTCCGCCCCTGCCCTCCCCATGCCCCGCCCACCAGTGCTCCGCCCAGGCCCCGCCCCTCTA